GTCGAAAATGTCACACCTCAGGTTATCTCATCAAGTCACTTGATATGCGTCACCTACTGTTTGTCAAGTTAATAATTCCAGAAATTATTAAGCGCAGGACATGGATGTAAGTGCCCGTGTCATAAAGTTTAGAATCTGACCAAAAACTGCAGCGAATATTTGAGTCAGAGAAAAGTAACCACCCTGAAATATCCATATAATGTCCATTCCCTAAAAGAGTAGTATAGAAGTAGTAACGAAATATTTTCATCCTACTTTCGGCCTCTAAAAGGACACCTGTATCGAAAATTCGCTCTTGAAGCCTCGATACCGGCCATCAAGAAAATGAAGCTTACCGTCCCTTTCTTCCATCACTGTGAATATATTTTTTGAAGCATGAATTTAGTTTACTTTTTAAGGTTACTTTCGCCATAGATATATATGTAAATGCATAAAGATTCGAGGTCCAGGTAAGTTTTCCTTCTTATAATCCTCCAAAGAAGACGCCAAAGAGGTGATTTCATGGGTCAGTTTGCATTCACACTTACGTTTCGGGAGCTCTCTCGTTTCCATCACCAGAGAGAGTAGCTGGCTTTTCCTATTGACCTTGGTTTTTCCAGTCGAAGTAGGCACAGGACAGGCAAGCCCGCCAATGGTCGAAAGTAAAAAGGCTGGAACCAGCCAACATCAAACAAGCCAGCCAACGTACGTGCGATGAGCACGGTTATAATACGAGGGAGGCGGAAAGGCTGGACAGATCAAGGTCAGCCGTAAGAGGCAGATAAGAACTCTGATGATAAAAGCGAAAAAGCTCCCGAAGCGAAAGTAGGAATGAAAACTGACCCGTGAAATCACCTTCTCACGTCCTCGTATAAGGTGAATGAAAAATACGACACATAATAGGCAGAATAGCACTACCGACAAAGGCAAGGGAGAATGGAATGGCCATTTCTGGCTTATTAGCCGTCGTCAGCCAGCCATACCCAAGCCCGAAGTGTGGAACACCCGAGCCTCGAACTCGCGACCTGTGGGTTTAGAAGTCCACGCTTCTAACCACCGGGCCACGAGCCCGTTGCCCTGTCGGTTTTCGATCGGGAATATACAGTGGTAGGGGTCGCTCACCGATCGTTCATACAATTCGGGCTTGGGTATGGCTGGCTCACGACGGCTAATAAGCCAGAAGTGGCCATTCCAGTCTCCCTTGTCTTTATCGGTAATATCATTCTGCCTATATATCATGCGCCGCTGTGCGGCTGCTGGTTGGGCTCGAGAGAGTGTCCATAAGGCACAGCGGAACGAGTGAGTTCCGTATGACCGATCCGTGAACGCCCCCTAACACTGTATATTCCCGATCGAAAACCGACAGGGCAACGAGGTCGTGGCCCGTTGGTTAGAGGCGTGGACTTCTTAACCAATAGGTCGCGAGTTCGAGGCTCGGGTGCTCCACACTTCGGGCTTGGGTATGGCTGGCTGACGACGGCTTACAAGCCAGAAATGACCATTCCAGTCTCTCTGGTCTTTGTCGATAATACCATTTTTCCCATATATAGGCAGAATTTCATTAAATACAAATAACTGTAAGAGCGATCGGTGAGCGCTTCCTACCATCATATATTTGCAGGAATAGGCGCACAACACTGCATCGTCTTCCTAAAGCAAGCATGCTTCGTAAGTGTGGTAGAGTGCCGGAACTAGCAACCAACTTACATGCCAAATTTTGCTGTACTTATCCAGATGCGTCAGACATATAGGTCGATGTGCACGCTGACCATTAAGATAGCGGCTGAAAATCAGGGTTTGAAGTAGTAAGCATTTTTACCTGAAATTGGGGACAAAACGTACTAACGTATTTCTCTTTGAGTGCAGATTATACAAACAATTCTTTGAAAGCAGAATTTTCTAGCCCCTGTTAGAGCCTTTTCAAATGTAATGTTATCTGCAGGAGCAGCTTTGGGCTCAAGAAGTTCGGCTGCAAAAACATATGACCTTATTGGGAATCCGGAACACAGGATTCTATCCAAGACTAGTTACCAAAGAACAATATGTTAAGCGGATTTTCGGCATTTGCTTGTCTTTCTTGTATCGAAGCCTAAGAAGTGCAAATCATGAAAAGATAATGTTGCCCCATGCCTAACCAACTTGTTCACATGTATCTCAAACTCTAATCAAATAACGTTCTCGATTTCGGAAGCAGAATGCGACCTAATTCAACAATTTTTCATTTCGAATGAAACTATTGCTGTAAACAGTGATTTGGACTAGAATGCGTACATTAGCGGTATAAAGGCTCATTATTGGCGGTTGTTTAGCATGCACAAAAATTAGCGCACCAAATGCTGATGCACCATTTGATCTGGTTTTCTGAATAGCACACTTTTAGGGAATCGTTTTCGTTTAAACCATATGAATTTATATCTAAGCGCTGCAGATTATTTTACACTGCATCTGTTATTGCCTTTAAAGTTGGACAGAAAATTCAAAATCTCAAAATAACCGCAACGGATCCCAGATCTGTTTATGCAACCTGGGAGCCACCGGCCTCACCACAGGGCATCATAGAGTCCTACAACGTCTATTTGGAGAATCAGGACACGAAAGAAAAGGAAGTGCACGTATATTCCGAAACCAATTGCACCTTCATCAACTTGGATCCCTACACGAGGTACAAAATCACAGTTTCTGTACGGAACCAACAACTTAAAGGCAAAGGCGGCGGCCTCGGACAGGAGGTTTCGGGCGAAGCAACGACGATGTCCTTAGGTAAAACAAGTGTCTCTTCCTTTATTAGACCATGTGAAAACATAAATGTTTTGCGTAGCTCGGCAGACAGAAACATCCATTGAATTATAGTTTGCTGGATTCCCAATTTGACACGATCTGTCCAGAGCCTATGCGTCAGTCAGAAGAAAGGTTATTGCGTGTTCACAGAAGTAAAGGAGGACCATTGAGCTTTATCAGACACTCCGTCCAATATCATCACTAGTTGGTTGAATACGCGTTGTTAAAATGAAGGTTTGTTATCCGGATTGTAGGTAATTTAGAAGTGAATTAAATTGCAAACATCGCCTACGAAAGAAGAACTTGAGTAGATACCAGTCAGACGATTTGCCACCCAGGCTGTATAACAACATGCAACTTATGTAACAGAAGTTGCAAATAGCTATGTGTCCTTCTTCATGAACTTGAGCTCCCCTTTTATGAGGCTTAGTTGGGAATCGAAAGGAAAGGACTAAAATACCGACCGACACAGCGGTACATTAACTTTAAACCCAGACTCATTCATCTACGCGTGTTTGACTGACGTGTTTAGGCGGCGGTTTAAATACGAGTGGAATGCACAAGCGAAAGTCGAAAAACAATGAAACGAGGGCTACGATCGGTTCCGCATTCCACAAAACGTACTATGCAAAGGGCCAACAGACTACACGCCCAAAACGGGAAACAACGGATGCAGTGGGGCCAGAAAAGGCTTCATGTAAATATGTATGCATATATCGCGTTCATGGACCAAAGTATATTTGAGCTAAAATTTCGGAAACCCTCTCGTTTCCATCACCAGAGTGATGTGTTGGCTGTTCCTGCTGTCCTTGATTGATTCAGCCTTGATACTTACCTGGTATCATATCCTTGATTGAGGCACGATCGAGGACCGGCCCATTCGTCGCCAATTAGCGTTGACCTCTCTGCGATTGACAGCTGGTGGGATCGTGTCACGTTTCATCCCTTTGCGGCCGTCGTAATTGTTGGCGAGCCAGCATGCGTGTTGCCCCCCCCCTCGTCACGCAACGGACTGATCAGGTCTTGGGGTTCATTTGAGTTGATCTCAGCCTCGTGGGCGTCGCGGTGAGGTGGCGTTCCATGCTGGTCACATGAGCCCCGGCCGGCCTCTCTCCTACTTTCCATTGGCATCGGCTGTCGGACGCAGGTGACATTGCTCGACCGTCCTGATGACCTTGTCCGCACTGACTCGAGCCTTGTGCGTAGCGCCTGGTAGGCGAGATGCGCATCTATTGCTCTGTTGAGCGTGCAAGTCGAGGACCAACTTTCGAGCATCAGTCTGGCCATCTTATCATTGGCATGGCCGATTACCCTTACCTTCTCAAAGGCGAACTTGTGGTTCTTCTGGTTGACGTGGCCATATACCATAGACAGTTTGTCCTTGCAGTTGATTGCAAGCTGGTGCTCATGCAATCTTGTGCCAAGACGTTTGTCCATTTCATATACTTACTTCGAATCACAGTTTTGCCATGGTATGCACAAGAGATGTTCGACCAGAAGACTTCATTGCATCCTTTGAGTCGGCGCTCTAGAAGTGTAAGGCAGGCGAGGAGTGCAAAAATACCATGCGACAACAAGTGTCGACTTTTATACACCAATATAAGCGCCAGAGGACGATTTATAAGCCAGAATTTCGCGAACTTCTGAAAATACGAAAACTAGAGGATATCGTCACCCTGCCGGCCGACAAGTGGCTCTTGACTGTCGTCATGCATATGGCCGAGTACTGCATAAAACTAGACAACCTCTTGATGGGCAAGGAAGCTTATGCGCCATCGACTGTCAGCAAGTTCAAAACGTTCGTAGATAGCATAAACAAAATGATTGGCAAGGTAAGGAAGGCGGATGCTGTTGATAGAAGGGAAGCGCTGACTGCAACGGTGTATAGGAAGGCCACCAATACAGGCCAAATCCTCAGCTACCACAGCAGGCACCCGTTATCCCACAAACGCAGCTGTGTACGAACACTGTACAAAAGGGCAGAAACACACTGCAGCGAGCCAGACGACAGAAGGTTAGAATTACGCAACCTCCAGCGCCTCTTCATGGCGAACGGCATTGCCCATCGGCCAGAGTCAAGAATTCGAAATCTGGTCATGAGATCTAAGACCCCCCTGCCACGCGGCGAAACAACGACCGTCATTTATCGGATCCAGTGCAGTTCCTGTGATATGAACTATATTGGAGAGACCGGAAAACGACTGCACACCCGTGTTGCAGAGCACATGAGGGCAGTTAGGCGGATGGACCCGTTGTCTCTAGTGGCAGAACACTGCGCAAACTCTGGACACACGTTCGCCTTCCAGAATGCTGAAATCCTGGGCCGGGGAAATGACCGCATCACGAGGGAAACAATCGAGGCCTGGCACACTGGCGCGAACTCCATCAACCGCAGCGTAGCGCTTCCTGAGGCTTACCAGGCCCTCCAGACGCAGCTTAGTGAACAGAAGAGCAGAGTCAGGCTGCGACAAGACAGAAACCCAAGTACGGCCGAGTCCATGGGGGCCACACGCGCAGCTGTACTTCAACCCGAATCTGACGAAGGTGCGATCGTCACAACAGCCGCGTCGTCCACTTATGTGGCAGGTGTGAGGACGAACGATCGCAGTAACGCCAACGGACCTGATGAAGGTGCTATCATCACTGCCACTCATGCGGCAGGTGAGAACACAAGTGACTGCAGGGTGACAAAGAAGATTGCCAGCCTAGGACGAGAGCTAAGGTCAATGCAAACACGTGCGATGACAGCTAGCGTCCAAACGACACCCCCCGAATAGACGCAAACCCGTTGTAAAAAGATCGTCACCGCCTATAAATACTGTGAGGCGTGGTACAAAACTCACCTCCGACGATGAAATCTTGTTTGATTTTGAAACGTCAGGGCAATATAACTATGGTTCCCGAGATCGCTTCTTCTTCTTATTTATGTCCGGGGACGCGCATCTTCGCTTCTATCACCATATATATATGTATGTTTTCTCATTCGTCCCTCCTTGGTGCTATATATAATCTTATCTGCTGTTAAAGGCACTCTCATCGATTGTTTCTACGTAGCTCACTCTTCCCTTTGTGCTTTATACATACATGCAGTATGTGGGCTGACTCATGAATTGTCAACCGAACTTCGGACATGCCTTTTCGTTTCTTAAATATTAAGTAAGAATAGTTGTATAAATAAACATCATGCAGCGTAATTTTATAATAATTAAGTAACTTTAACTTTTGCGCTTCCGCGCCAACTTTTTTCGGCCGCATGCAAGCGTTACACTATGTGGAAAATTGTGACTTAAGTAGCCTGCCTCGTTATTGATTTTTAATTATATTTTATGGAAATCTTCCATAAAAATACTTATTTTTTGCTCATTCGGTAGAAAATGACTCTTTTTTGTATTTTATTTTCAAAGGTAAGTTATAATGCTGATTTTAAATACTTTTATAATTCCAGAATAAGTTTGAACCCGACCTGCCATTACACTTGCATGCATGGTTCCCCAACTATAAGCCGTACTTTTTCCGCGTACGGAATACCATACATTTCTCTACGGTATGAAATTTAGTAGTGCATTAGAGCCATATTGTTAACTTTACAAGCCACAGAGGTAAATGCTGAGCCATGACGTTTTATGAACGGTCACTGCACGATATCAAACAATCCTACATTTGGAAACTTTTTTAAAACCGAATTATACCCTTCCTTTAGGTATAAAATTGGAACAAGACGTCACGTTCTACTGAATAAGCAAAAATTACTATTTTTATGCATATTTTACATAAAATATAATTGATTTTTTAAAGACATCAAAAGTCGGCAAGAAAAATGAATGTTGTTTAAGCAGTCATATTTTACAGAGTACAGTTTTGCAGGCGACCGAAAAGCAGTTCAAAAGCCGGCATTCTGAGATAACTGAATCATTGTAGAGCTATGCTGCACGATGCCTAGCTTTACAACCCTACTTCATTAATATTTTCGAGACAAAAACAAATTTCGAAATTTCCGTTGACATTTTAGGAGTTAGCCCACCTACTGTATATATAAAGGGAATGTTGATGCAGCATGGCAGGCAAAGGACTCGTTTACTTATCTGGGACTGCCATTTGCGGCTGCAAAAACACCGCTGAGTCTCGAGAGAGATAATTCCAAACTGTTCAGAGGTTATTGGGGATAAACCTGCAACACTGCTGGCGCGAGACAAGAAACTGTGATCTTAGTGGGATAGAGGATTGAGATGCAAATTTCGAAGATTAAACATTGAAACGCAAAATCACAAAGAAACATTGGTTCGCAGTGCTTTCGCCAAAGACCTGGCCGGTGCAGTTTCAAGTGGTAAACTTGCAGCGGGCTTTGACGCCGAAGTCGCCGATCCCGTTCATTTTTTGTCTTTCCACGAGTCGGTCTTCAAACACTCCTGAGGAGCCAATCTGTACAAAGCATCTAATCCAACACCAAGTGACATCCTTGCTGTCGACGCGCAAAGCACGTGCGGCAATTTCAAGAGCGAGACGAGATGCCCTCGAGACACCGAAGGTGAACTGGAGCATTGTAGTACTCCCAACTGACAAATGACGCTCCGCAGCAGCACTCGACACATATGAATACCTTTGGAAGGCAACCGCCCTGCTCGATAACTGTCTTGCGTACCTCGGATACGATTGAGATCGCACGAAGATGCTGGTTTCCCGAGTTAACACGACGTTTGCTAGACTGCAGAATAACGGTCCATCTTTAAAGGAGAACGACTGACTAGTAAATCAATAGATTGGCCATGGCGAAATACTATGGACTGCCTCAAATACCCAAGCCTGTTGCTCCACTTCGGCCTATCTTATCTTTTCACGGAACTCCCATATTCAACCTATTCAAATGGCTATTCCGACGTCTAAGATGTCTCACATCAGGCTCCGACGTAACGTTCCGCTTAGCGGTACATTTCAAGAAAAGACTCTACGGGTTTCACCTAAATATGGACGAAATCACGATATCATATAATGCTACCTCATTCTTCTCCTCAGTTTCCTAGAGTCTTGTAGTTAAAACTACCGGCGATCGACTTTGTAGTCAGTATGAGAGATGACCAACAAGCATGAACGAGAGCACTTGTCTGACTGTTTAATTTCTGCCTTAAAATCCATTTTCCACTTAACGAAACGGTCTACGAGGAAATCAAATGGACTCCGATGAGTCTCCCACTGTATGGCTTCATTGCTGAGACGGTCCTTGCGTAGAAAAGGACGTTGGTGTTCGCGACCCTCAGACCCATTTTTGGGCGCGATATGTGGACGACACTTTTGTCGTCCTCAGTCAAGAAATGGTCACCGAACTTCGCAGGATATTGAGCTTGCTTTTCCGGACATTCATCTCTAAACGGAGGCCAAGGTCAGCAATCAAATAGCGTTCCTAGACCTCTTGGTCACCGACGTAAGCCTGAAAACATGGCTTGCCGAAAAGCCACATAACACGTCAGCTCCTTTGTTACTAGGGTGACCACCCGTCGTGCCACAAACGTAACTGTGTGCGGACTCTATCAAAAGACGGAAACTGACTGCAACAAAGCTGACGGCAAGGGGGCCGACCTCAGTTATCTTTGGCGGATTTTCACTTCCATCGGTTACTTACTCAGTTTCGTAGATCGCAGAAGGCAGCAATCATGACTAGCTTGGAACACTGCCTCGCCGGCAATATCTCGTAACTGAAATCAACTCACTACAGCAGCAACCACTGATCTGTTCGTTGGATGAAACTGAAGAAGACAAAGAACCCCAGTTTGGCTGCAAATACGACGGCCGCAAAGACTGAAGTGGTCACGCGAGCCCGCCACTGGTCGATCTCGGGGAAGTCATGACTGGCCATCAGCAAACATGGTCAAAATGAGCGCGAAAGGCACGACTGTAATACGAGACAGGCGGCACTACTGCACAAATCTAGGCTATCAGGAACTCCCAAAGCACCGTCCACATGATACAACGAGGAATTTATCGTTATCGCCAGAAGATGCTTCGAAGATCCATAATTGATGCGTACAACCGACTTCCTTACTTCTAAAGAAATAAAAAACACAGACAGTTTTGTCCCAGCCAACCACCTGTTCATGCGTTTGAAACGCTACATGACACCAACACCTATGCTTCACTTGTATAACATTTAGCAAAAAGAGAAACATTCTACAATAAAATGGTGATTATTTCTGGAAAACGTTACACTAGTTCATGCTAAGAAGGTAATGGAGTACAGTTAGTCTAATTCCAATAAGTTTGACTTCCTTGCCAGATTCAAATCAATCGTAAGTTTAGCAAGTCTCACGGAGGATCTATTCACAGTTCGCAGTAGTCTTATGCACGCCTCAGAGAAAAAACGACAAAAGCTCTCTTCTCTATTTTCCGATGTTCAAAATTAATGGAACGTAATGAACCTCTCCACCAGCACAGGAGACATGACCACTATTCCGAGCAAGAATAAGCATATAGGGAAGACTTAATTGTTAAAAAAACAAGTCAGCCTGCAAACATCTAACTGTGGGACCTAAAAAAGCACAGAACTCATGAATTGAAAAACGCTTAAACGTCTTGCATGAAGAATGTTAACAACAGAAGTTATCGTCAAATCCTAAGGAGAGGATTCACCCACAACTGCTAAGGTGTGGGAAATACCTAACTTCAAATATGGGTATTCCATTGCTACAAATGGTCTGCCTTATAGACACACCAAATCAATAGCTGTCAAAATGATCATTCCATAAATAAAATTGGCTAAAATGAAATTTGAAAACTTTATTGAATCTTTAAAAGAGTTCCCAGACAAATTAAAAGGAGTCAAAATTACAACTGACAAGATAATGGTTCACTCAGTGTAGTCTCGCCCTTCATTTCGATTCCGCTATATTAAGATAGGCCCGGCTCCAAAGAACAACTTCGTAGCTACGCTACTGATGCGCCTCTCGACGCCTTACTTTAACTATCAGATTTTTGTCTAGAGGCTAACGCTTTCTCTGTTAATCAGTGTCATCAGTAATGGAAAGGCGTTCCTATTATTTTGCCTGTATCCGTCATTCAATAATGCGTAAATTAGAATCTGTGGTCCTTGCTGAATTTCACCCCACATTATAACTGCGCAATTTGGATAATAAATTTGCACTCTTTGGGGAAAATTTGTCAGATCTTCTCCACACGGATCCTTATTCTACATATCCAAGAATCGAGTTTACTTCCGAAGTGAAAGTAACTAAGTAACTCCCGGTTCTGAACGCTCATTTGACTCAGAAAGTCGATGGATCATTGCACACATCCGTGTAACGCAATGAGACATATTCAAAGGTTATCCTTCATTTTAAAAATAACCACTTCATCCTTCGCATAAGGGGTTTTATCTACAGCCTGCCAAATCGAGCCAAAACAAAAAACACAGATGAATCAAATTTCCAAAAAGAAATTCAGTGCCTCTTCGAATCACTTTTCCATAATAGGCAACCTTGTGACATTGCCTGTGACTGCATAAGGGGTAAGAGGTTTGAAAATAAGAGTACTTTGAATGTTAGGACTGCATAAGCACTAAAGCAATCAACCTGAAAAGCTTTCATATGTAAATAATGTATCTGCGGTTATCGAGACACAGTTAAATTAACACTAGATATAAGTAGGACTCCAGCCGAAAACTGCCATGTGCGCACAGCTTTCAAACCCTACGTACAGGGAGTACAGCCTTAATAGAAGATTATTGTCTACGATATCTCGTTTTTCAGCCACTCTGCCGTCTATGATAGTTAAAATGCTGTGACGTGTTTCAACCCATATACTCGAACACAAATGACCGATTACGAGATGAGACAATTTACCCCAGGTGGACATGGGCAGAGTGTACACTGAGTAAACATTTGCGTGGAGAGCATTCAACTGTTGGAGCTTGCCCAATAATGGAAGAGCGTGAATTCCTGAAGGCAATGCACTGAGATAAAGCATACATTATACGATATATCGATTTGAATGGAAACCAGTGCCGCCCGTGTTGATGAAATTCGGAAATACCGCTACCGAGCATAGGGACAGGCTACAGCCAACCGCAGAATCATTTGTTAAAGATGGTTAAATAATATCCTCTTTGTGTACATAACCCATAGGTCTGATGGCAAACTGAGGAAAAAGTCTCGCAAATTTACGCAATAAAGCTATTCTGGTTCCAAATAATTTCGTTTTTTCTGATTAAATATCTTGAGATGTGGGTATTATAATGCATATCTGTACATACTGAACCAATACATTCCTGGGATTTCGACGGAAGAAATTCGCTTTAATTGCAGTAGCATCGTACAGTAGCGAAAGCGTTGGCGAAACGTGTCGAATATATTATACAACTATTAGCACTAGTTGTTTACTTAGTGAGTGGCATATGACGATTGGCAAAGACTAATTGCTGTTCACCCCAACGAGTATTATGGTTTAGAAGCTAGTCCTGAAAGGTACGTCCACGTCAATTAACCAGAGATCCTTCTCTGGATAACCTGTGAAATCGCAAGCTTCGTAATTCCCCGAGTTTAATTTATCAGATATCGCATCCAAAACAATGAGGACGCATTTTCTTCGCAGATATGTCCACAGAAGCGAAAACACCAGTAAAACACGCCTTTGGGGATATTAGTCAGAATTTATATGAGATTTATGCTAAAACCACTTTCATGTATCTACATTTTTATACATTATTTTGAATTAATATTCACTGGGGGTTTACGGGGCATGCTTGTCTCTTGTACATTCGAAGTCATTCTGTTGCCGAGTCGGCAGTCACATAGCAATCGCAAGCAGATAGCGAATAGGAGTGCCGACGAAGTTAAGGGAGACTGTGATTGTCATTTCAGGCTACGTAACCCTTGTCAACCAACATTACTCCACTCTAGAACTTCCGACCAAGGATTCGAACCCTCATTCTTTTGTCATTTGAGCGTTTGTAAGCCCACTGTCCTACATTTGGGCTGCATGTCCTTTGTTCTGTCGGATCCTGTCGGGGCTACTTATTATTATTGAAGGTTTCCCCATCGTCAAGCAGACGTGACGTGCTCGTACAACGGTGCCTACCATGACAACTAATGTTTCCGATCTCAACCGACGAGACCCACACATTAAAGACAGATCGGTAGACAATATAGCGCTAAGTGGCCGAAGAGTCCACTGTCGAATCCAAGAAACTGCAAGTTTGGAGTTCGGTGAGGTTAGCAGACGGCTGAAAATAGGTCTGAAATGAACATTCAGACTCCTCTGTCTTTGTCGGTTCTCCTCAATTTTTACCATTGATTACGGAGATGTAATAGAATGTGAAGTCTCAGCAATGAGTATACTGAGCAACGGGACTGGCGAGATCCGCTAACTTCATGCCTGTAATTATGGTGCAAAAAAAATCAAAAGTGGTTTAATGTTCAAACCATGTATTTTAGAAAATGTCAATGGTTGGCACAAAATACAATTAAGAAAAGAAACGTGTCTATTTGCATAACAATTTCCTCCTATTAATGACAACGCTTATCAAGGCAAAACCCACTATTACAGAATGCAACTGAGTCAAAAGCTACACAGAATTTTGCAGAGCGTAAAAAGCATTACAATGGGGCCTTCCAAGAATTTGTGAAATAAAGTTTGACCTCCTGCTTATGTTAAAAAATCGAGATGTCACTCCCAAAACGTTATTTTAGATACTGAGAGACCGACTGATGTAAAGGCTGAAGCCATCAGTTCCGAGAGTATCCAGGTCACATGGAAAGCGCCCAGTTACAAACTATCAAATGAAAGCGGCTACAGACTGCACATTATTGGCCAGGACTTCAACGATACAGCCGTAGTTGGAAGAGATACACTCACGCACACATTCTTCGGATTGAAACCCTCCACGGAGTACGCCGTCTACGTGCAGGTTAACGACAGCGTGAGGGGAGTGCCCCGACCGACGGGAAACAGTTCGGCAAAAACCTGGCCAGAGGGTAAGTTGGCATGCCCTTCTCAAAAGAATAACTTTTCGTGATGTAGTGAAACAGTTAAGGATACCACACGTGGTTATATGGCCCCATAATAAACAGACAGAAAACAATGACATTCTGTGAAGTGAATTAGTTGAATTTAATTTGCTGGTATCTGGTTTTTTCGAGCAGCCAAATGGGTCAACGGTGCTATGACTAATATTTGTCTGTGGGAAGCATGACAAGGGTGTGCCTAGAGGCAAATCGAGTTAAACTAGACAACTTTGCAGAAACGTTTTCGGAGTAAATCGCGTTAGCTTCCATGTTTCCAACAGCAGACCATCCAATTACGTTAAAAATGTGAAAGCGGGAGAGTTTTTAGAACTGGCATCCAAAATGTTTCACCTCCTCATCGATGTCCGTTTGACTACGTTCTTCACACGTAGTATATCAAAAACGCTATACTTCAGAATGAAAATATCTTTGTGAGGTTAATGGCTGCAACGAGTGAACGGTAGGTGGTAAAACTGAAAAGGCGGTCACATATAGATCACCACAGTGAAGGGCTGTACTGCGTTAGGTCTGTTCTGAATCACAATATGTACTTATGCATGAACGACAACCCTTTTTAAACACCTGATATAGGTCTGGGCTACCGAGTCAACCGCACCCAAGACAGATTGCCTAGGATTTTATAGACATTGAAGTCCCTTCAATACGGGATGGTAATTAAGCAGTCTTTTTTTCGCACAAATACTTTTTAAGAGTTTGCATAAGCAAGAAGCTAGGAGTGAATGTGATGACACGCCGAGTGTCAGGCAGGGGAGATTATTTGAATGAAAATTGGCATACTGAAAAAACCTGGTTGTGAGTTACAAAGATAAAGAAAAGTGCATCACAAAGTCATCGAATTCTCACGTCATCAGCAAATTAAATGGTGGCCGATGTTTTGGTCCCTTTAGCTATTATCCTGCTCACATTTTTAGACGCACCTCCCGCATATGGTGAATAGCATGAAGAGCTTTGTGGTTAACTGTACAGGGTAAACGTGCATTCTGTTCTTGCTAAACACTTAGCCAATTTATCTTTCGAAGTCATCGTTAAAACTCCATGAACCTTAACCTAAAGTTTTCCATTTGTTACGAATAGCAGAGTCCTCTAGTGCTGAAGCCCTTTATGCGACTAATTTTTGGATAAGTGAGTTTTAACTTAGCACGCTTACTGACTCATACAGTTTTGCACTTTACCACTGCAAACTTAATTTTCCTCTTTCTCTTGCATTAATCATTTAAAGCAGCGGAAAAGGTACAGAACCTCCATCTGGCTGCAGAGGACGCTAGATCTGCGCAAGCAGTCTGGCAACCGCCAACATCAGCGCATGGCGCTGCAGAGTCCTACGGAGTTTGCGTGCAGAACAAACACACGGGGGTAAAACAAGGGTATGTATTTTCTCAGCCTACGGCCGCCTTCATCAACTTGCATCCCTCCACAACGTACAAAATAACCGTCTCTGTTCGAAACGAAAATCCCCGTGGAAGGCTCAGTAGGTGCGGACCGAAGGTTTCGGGCGAAGTATCAACTCTGCCCCTAGGTGAGGAGACCACCTCTCATTTTTATTGTACTTCCCGCAAAATTAATATTTTGCGCTCAGTTTGGCATCTGGCGCTTGCTGCACAGATTACACTGTTTAATTGGGGATCCGAAAATACCTGTCCAGAACCCAAGCATCAATGATAATAGCAGGACCGTGTTTTTTCGACCTTTAGCTCACTTAGCTACGGTTGGGAAATGATCAGTAAGGGCCAGATTGTCTGTCGGAAAGACGCCCGGTATCATAAGCATACGTCGTGAGAAGCCATCGGTAGTGTCCTTCAGCTCCATGCATACGAATAAAGCATGCAGTTGTTGCCTGGCTGTGGACAGCTTGCTGTCAAACCGTGAATCAACAAATGGAGAGATGAAATTTGAACAGCAGTACCATGGAGAACGAAGTCGAGACTGAGAAATTCGTCCAATCACTGAATTTCCTATAAATGCAACATTCAGGATAGTACACATGATATCTGACTGCCTCCGTTGCTGGAGAGAACTACGATTGATGAATTATGGCAATGTTATGAAGAGGTTGCGGATGAGCGTACTAGCTAAAAGGGCGAGCCCCAGACAATATTTTTTGGGAAGTAGATACGATTGCTGGAACAGGTAGAGGAAGGAAGGAGGGAATAAGGGGTATATGGGCATCGTTGCGCGGGTTGAGCGATACAGTGGCATACTGAGATGACCTGAAAAGGTCGAAGATACCGAGAGATCGGACAGAGTACACGTGCACACCAAATTAACAATGAAAGGCTGCATAAAACATGTAAAAGTGTTCTATAAATTTGGCAGGAATGTCGCTGGGGCAGAAAGCGAGTGCTATTGCCCTTTCTCCTCTAAGCGAAATGCAAGGCGGAACGCAACTCCGGCAACGGGACCTCTGGTTTTACTCTAAGGAGTTAGAATACAAACAGGATTACTGAGCTGTGTAGGATTAGCCCTTGCGTCATTCTGGAAAAGAGTTGATCAGCTTCTTAGTTTACTATAAAAATAAATGGTCATCCCAGTGTCATTTGAGTGGTAGTATTTATTTCCATCCACTACGGATGCCAAAATTTTAAGGGAACCGGAAAAGTTGTGATTTGAATTGTTGCTGCAATTTCTTTATTGATTTTGAGGACTAGCTTTCCAAACTGACACTGTAAGCATCGCCGTGTCCAGCCACAGTTTCAAAACCGCGACTCACGATATCCCATCTAACAAAGATTTCATTCATTCTATTTAAACGTGTTGCCGGGCACCTCAACTCGAGAGCTGGAGCCAGTTCTCTTCATTTATACTGACTGGTCAATCATTCACGTGCAGAGTTGTCCTCCAATGCCGCAGACGTAGTTACCTTGCCCACAGTTGCACCAATTCGGGCAAACAAGTGAAACTCCAAGCGCCGGAAATCTATATCCATTCTCGCCGGTGAAAGCGTCTGTATCTAGTTTTTTGTTGCTCAACACGCCATTGGATATAATTATCTGGGCAGGATAATACTGCCAAACGTAAAGACGAATAAGGGCATTGACGAAGGGGTTTGCTAAGGACGCCAAGAGGGTGGCATTAACGCACTTAGTGTTAGTGGGAATCGATATTGGTGACCAGAGACGTTCTGATGAACGAGGATTCACTATCTTTGCTACATGATGACCATGGCGGTTAACCTGAACCGAAATGAGAAGGCTAAAGAGTTGCGGGCCGGTTGATGAATCAACCTACGAGCAGTCGATTTCGCGGACAGCTAAGTAAAATGCCGTAAAGTACAAACGCATATACTTCCACCAATTTAGCTCATGTGCGAATTTTCCGGCTCTACTGGACATCATAGACATTGGAATAAAGATCTTTAAAGGACTTTTAGAAGTGTGTCTTGCGAAGTTTGGTGATAAGGTAACGGCGGCGGATGTGCCAATGATCTGAGGCAAAAAAAGAAATGTTACAAAAACCCACATTAATTAGGTAAGGCTGATCCCATTATGGACGAAAGTATCTATATCATATTTTCGCCAGCCCTGATTTGCAGAAATGGGGGTGGCAAAGATAGCCTCGTCGAAAATATTCTGATATGATCTTTTGCCTGGATGAACCCGGTTTTTGGCAGCAGATAAGTGAGATGTGACGCCGGGGCCTTTTGCAAAATTGTTGCGGTGCAAGCGCGTGGCTCCTGTACGCGATGGAGGTATAAGTGAGGTCTGATCTGCAGGATCAAATAGGGCAGGAGATTTTTCATGTTGATAAAAGTGTTCTCTGTCTAACATACGAATCTCTAGTCTGGACTGGCATCCACGATCGACCACTCAGGCACGGGAACGAGATTAAGTAGAAACTGATGAAGTCGACTGCATGATAGATCTGTACAGTCGAAAAAGGGCCAAACATGAGTGCTGAAATACTAAATAATATTCAAATAGGAGTGTGCCTTGCCCGCATAGAGGTAAAGTTTGCGATAAGTCATAAAATATTAAAGTAAAATTGGAGAAAATAGTGAATTACGAAATAAACAGCCGGAGAAGGAGGAGACAGAAGCTGCCTGTCTTGCAATAGAGTGCGCCAACTAACATTTGTATATAGAGCCGGGTTGCAGTTGCTTGTATGTTTCAAATTCAACCACCGAAAGGTTCCTTTATAGGTTAAGGCTGAAGGCCAAGGCATCAACTGCCCTTACGTCGCTGGCTTAAGTCACTCAATACATAGTAACGTTTCCGTCTGAGACATTCATTTGTGGTTAGGCGTCTGGCCTGTTAGACGGCGGACTCCGGCTTGCGATTGAACTGGCATGGGGGTAATCCTATTCCCTTTGTCAATTCAAATGGCGAAATAGTCAACGTCTCAAGCAAGCTTATTTTGGTTTCTGCGGTATTCCTCACGCAAAATGCCATCACACCGCAAATATGCATAAAAATGTACAACAGAAGCTGATTTATTCCTGAGTTCCAGATAACCTTCATGATTACCACAGAATACAATTAAGAAAAGCGACGTGTCTTCAGATATTCTGGGAATTGTAAAACTAGAATTCCGTCCTATGCATGATGACGGCTGCTAAGGCGGTGAGCACTAATAAATGATACAGCAAGAAGTTGACTTAAAAGCTGCACAGAATTGTGAAAGACATTGAAACCCATCATGAAATATCCTACCAAGTATTGGTGAAACTGTTATGGAGAGTGAAAGCGGCGTAGAGCCGTGGCCTAAGGCGCTAAACAAGGAACCAAGCCGGCGACGTGAATCACGCGTGAAGTTAGGCGACAGACAGGCGCGCACTGCAGCGCCGAGCACGCGTGGTGGCTTCGCTCACGTGTGCGGCCCAATCAATGGGTGGTCGAACATTCCAGACGTTTCCGCGGTGGGGGGGGGGAGGTTCTATCGCGCACGCGGTGGCCAATCAGCGAACAGCACGCTCGGGGCAAGAACATTCTAGAACGTCCTCAACGGCTGGCACGTCATTGGACGGAATGTTCCAGAACGCACGAGAACCCATATAAATAGCACACCTTTCTTAGGAGTTGTAACCCCCCGTGTCCGCAAGTTACCAATAAAGCGTTTGTCCTCTTCCTGTCTTACCTTCCTTCCGGGTCATAACAAAACGAAACACGATAGCCTGTTGATGGTGACAAATGAAAACATCTACTTGAAATCTTTTTTTAGAAATTGAGAGACCGACTGATGTAAAGGCTGAAGCCATCAGTTCCGAGAGTATCCAGGTCACATGGAAAGCGCCCAGTTACAAACTATCAAATGAAAGCGGCTACAGACTGCACATTATTGGCCAGGACTTCAACGATACAGCCGTAGTTGGAAGAGATACACTCACGCACACATTCTTCGGATTGAAACCCTCCACGGAGTACGCCGTCTACGTGCAGGTTAACGACAGCGTGAGGGGAGTGCCCCGACCGACGGGAAACAGTTCGGCAAAAACCTGGCCAGAGGGTAAGTTGGCATGCCCTTGTCAAGTTGGTCACCTGTGAGTGTTAGTGAGGGATGTTTTTCAAACACTAAAACAAATGGAGGGAAGCCGAGGGGAAAGACAGACGGAAGTAAGGTTTGCGAATATGATTAAATTAATTGTAGTTTTTGATCCTATTTCTTACTGAAATGACAAAGTGACATGGCGATTTGCGATTGTTCGGCCAGAAAGCAAAGGTGTGGCGACATGGACGTCACTTGACCCAAGCGACTTTGCAAAAAGAAGTTGGCTTGCCTCTTAAATTTCATCCAGAAGAGTGGTCACTCCTCCAACATGAATTCCTCTCGAATATATCCTATCGACTCAACTGCGTCACATTGTTGTTTACTTAATTTATTGCGAGCAATGATAGGGCTAACCTATGTCTCCTCGAGACCAAGCTCAATTCACGCCCTATATTCGGTTGCTGCAAATGATAATTTGAAGTCAAGTGCCGTGAGAATTAGTCGACAGTTAGTCGACCAGCAAGATATGACTGAAGGTGAGGGTGACGGAGCGCACAGTTTCGTTTTATAAATGTTGCCTTTTTTAACCAACAGAAAGTGGAGATTTAACAAAGTTAATGCACCTAAGACAGCAATAATCTGCATGTAAACATTCCACTTTCTACTAAAATTCAGATTCCCATTCGTTGAAGTCGATCTGCATCATTTAAACAATTAACGGAAATAGTTTATCGTAGACAAGAAAGACATCGTTTTCCGAGACTATATAAATAAATTATTGATATGTGATTTTGATATTTGCGCTTTCAGCTCGGCAAGCCTGTGGAAAACGAACTCTTGCTCCTGCCGTGTGGTCTGTTCTCCAGTCGACTAGACATGAAGCCAATCAACATAGCTGGCCATGGACTGTAAGATCGATTTTTAAGACTTATATTTTCAATTTCTCATTTAATCATTTTGGGCGCATAGCGTTTGTAACGTTTCACGTGATTTAAAATCAAAAGTCAGCATAATAGTACTCGTAAGCAGGTCGCTAATTGTTTTAGTCAAAATCCAGCAACTGCTCCCTTTGGCTTTTACATGACTTTCTATCACTTGCTATATTATTTTGTATCTCTTTACAAATATGTAGGTCGGACTTTACACCAGTACCAGAGGAGGGTACCCGTACTGCGGAGGGACTCTGGTTGCTCCTCGGTGGATCGTTACCGCTGCCCATTGTGTTGAAATGGCTATGAACTGTACTACTGCGCCTGTTGGAAAACTGTTCTCCTACAAAGCCCTCACAAACGCAACTCTGTTTGCCCGAGTTGGTGACCATGATTTAAGAAAAACAGAAAGATCTGAAAAGGATCGCCTTGTTCAGAGCGTGATAGTGCATCCTCAGTACCAAGTGCATTCAGGAAACAGTGAACATGATGTTGCCCTACTGCGACTGGAAAAATCTGTCGACCCAGGTAGTTGCAGTGGTCTTGCATTTCATGCATGCCTATCCACTTTTTACAATGTTTGGCCATCGCACCGGCTCACTCTGTAGATGCTGTAGACGACAATGGCACTCGCTACTCAGGTTGTGCAGAGTGCACTTTTGGCGCGGTCACCCGTCCAGACGTAGGCCTCCGCGTTGCACTGGCCGCTGTTCTCAACCACGAAATCAGATGGCTGACAGTCTCAGACAGTTGACCGGTCCACCGAAAAGTAAATGGCGAATCAGGCTGATATAAAGAAATATGTCGCCGCGGCATATCAGCTTATTCCTCACTATAGTAAATCTTTTGCTTTTACATCCACCACGACAGCCTACAAGGCGTGGTGTGGGTATTGTCGTCTGACGGGATAACTCAACCCTGTTTCGGACTGAGGGCTACGTTGCCATTGCTTCATCTTTATGAGGTTTCTGTGGCATTCGGGTATGTGCGAGTTCTGAGTCACATTCATGAAAGCCTGGCACACGTAGCGGGTACGGAGCGTGTGTAGTAAGCAAAAACCGTTTTCTTAACTCTGCCAGATGCTCTGCTGAACTCACCTTCAGTCGCCCGGACACTCTTTTCCCATCGGAGCTAGGTGAATGAGGAAGATAAAGTGCAGTTGCATGTCTTTTTCCGTAGTTTTGCTTAGCGCATAGCTATAAGCGAGCAAGGACTCATAATCTCTCATAGCTGCCTGTTGGCATCGGCCGTTGAGAAGTAGTCTATGGAATAAGTATTAAATATTTATTGTCGTCTGATACTTATCAGAATTCATCGGCAGCAAAATCGAGATGTAGACGAGTATACAGTCCTACTTTGTCCGATTGGCCAGCGTAAATGTTTCGGAGATTGTCCTTTTGCCTGTGACACGCGCTTACGTCAAATCGTGTAATTTCCATACCATTTTTCTGATTCGTGCTAGACATCGGCACGATTCTTTTTGTCTAGGGCCTTCGTCATAACCAAGAATATCGTATAGATGGCCGCATTCTTTAGTAACGTTTTGCAGCTAGCGGTGGGCAAGACCAGGTTCATGATTCGATTGTATCCTCCTAGTCTGCATCGTGCTCCAGAAGGGAGTCTATTCGTTTGAGGGGTAATTACGCGGCTACGTGCGACTCAGCAAATAGTTTGCCTGCATCGTTGAATCAAAAGTTGCTCCGGTGGTTGTCATAGACTTACAGGTTCCATTTGTGCCTATATTTACGTACAAATGTGTCATTCCTAAAGTCGTGGGAGATATACCTATGTATCTACATTTTCCGGAGGAATGGAGCAGCCCAGTCTATTAGTCGGGACTCTCGACAATTGCAAATTTCGGCTAATATTGTGTTAGCCAGACAATTGTTGCGTTGGTTTTTTTTAAATTTAAAGATGGATAACGATAGAGTCAGGGACGGGTTTGTACTTTTAAAAGTTGGTTAATGGTGTCTTGTCGTATTTTGGAGGGGCTTTTAACTACTGGTTTTTGGTCGGAACAGTGCTTCAGGACCTGCTAATTGTTCTATAGTGGCTTCGCACAACATAAAAGACTAATTTGGCGGTCGAGAGAAAATTCGTGATTTCAGTACATCCGCTTTTCGAGTTAGGCCATCTTTCTGCAGTTTCTTTAGCCGTCGTTGTTGTGGGCTTTGGCAGCGGATATATTGCTTTACTGACCCTGGTCCCTTCGTTGGCACAAACAGACTTTTTTTCTTGAATAATAAGCATCTGATCTCATCGTGGATATTGTCATATTAGTTCTGGTGTTTTAATTGTGCACTGTCGGCGACTTTTTGTATGGCGGCCTGAAGGACTTTTATCAGGTCTTTCCACTGAGAACATGGGCGACATCTTCTTCCAAGTCTTCTAATTTTTCCAGTTTGAAATTTATGTGACTTTGGTTTTTAACAAACCGGAAGGTCGCATTAATTGCAGACGCCGACCGTTTGAAGCTGCGACCTCATCCTGTAGAGAACAAGGCGTACATCCTTCTGGCATTCTGCAACACAATGCTCTTTTTGGACCTCCAAACGTAAATTAAATTCAGCTGTCGCCAACGATACGAGAGAAGACATATCCACGTAGTCTTCTTCGGCATTGTAAGGCGAAAGAATGTCTCTTAAGTGTAAGCCTGCAGGAAGACAAAACCTTGCTGAGGCACATGCCGACCAGGTGGCGACCCAGCACTTCACCCTGGATGTGGAGTTATGTGCCGGCGCGGACATAGAAGGCATTGGTAGCAATCGAGAGCAGTTGTCTGTTTGCGGCACAGCCGCCATCAGGGCGGGCAGATCTTCAGCGAACGCGCTCTTCACGTCACCAGAGCTGGTCAACAAACCGAGTGGGGCCTAGGTGCTGAGTTCGTGACGAAAGTCCAACACCCTCGCAGCCATGAGCCGGTCTTTCAGTAATTGTGGGATGCAGGGCTGCCGTCGCACGGCATAATTAGTAATGATGAAAGCAACTCTGGCTTAAGTCGCCCGCATTTGGACGTCCGCTGCGAAAGGTTTATCCGACCTTCAATTGCCCCAGACTAACCGGTCTGGAGAAAGAGCTCATACTGTCAGCCGCAGTGCCCAGTTTGTGACCAGATGGTTTCGAATAATATGAACGGTCTTTATTTCGAGCAAGTTGGCCATTCGATTGTCTAGAGGAGAGCCAACATTCGAGGGCGCCAGAGTAAGCAGCCATCCGTTCAACGTGGCAGTGGTGTGTTATACCATCGGTTAATGAGGCACGCTTTCTAGCCCCATGATTTGATAAGTAGCACCACCCCAAAACAGGGCTGCTCAGTCATCTTTGGTGTCTGCCGTATTGCACTGTGGGTCTCGAATTTTGTGTAGTGGGAAAACCTCTCGAATAAGCCTGAATCGCTTAAGAAGTTCATGTCTACATCTACGAAACACTTATTGTTTAAGTGGTGCAGACTTGTTCAGAGACGACGGGGTACGGAGGCGTATAAACGCTTAATGCTTTCACCCTGATTTAAGTCGCTGATCAACATGGGGCATCGGGATGCCGTTGTTGTTCTGGGTACGACTTTTCAGGACCCCGTGTAAGAATGGACGTTCATGGTGGAGAAGTGATAAAGGATCCATCATGTTTGCCGATGGGTTCTTTGTGAACAATCGTTGTACTTTTTGCAAGTAATTGGTAAGAACGTGAGAACGCCTAGTCTATCCGGCCTCCTTATAGTGGACGATTTTGTAGCTACACATCCGGCATTTTGCGGCAGTGTAACTTCATTGCTGACCTTTCGTGCCAGGGCCCTCCAAACGTATTCACCAACTGGGGGTAGTGGAAGAGATGCGACTGTGGTTCCCATGCACGTCACTCTGCACACAGCAAAAATGTTATGATTAGCCAACATTACATTATAGTTGCACTAATGACCTGAGAATGGAAAGATTTTGAATCAATGAACAGGCGTTAGTTAAATTCCGTAAAAGATGAAGTTGAATTCATCAACGCTGGTCGAAATGTTTTTTACATTTCAAAAATTTAAAACCTGAAAACGCGTTTTTAGCTCGCTGACGGGACAATTTATTATTCTTTTAGGGAAGGAGGTCGATTTTATTTGTCTTCCAGGAAACGAATCGGATATTCCTGATTCCAAAGAATGCAAATTTGCAGGCTGGGGTTCAGGTAATCGATTACGAACGCTGGGGTATCGAAATTCACCTGTTCTAATGGAAAGCAAAGTAAAGATTGAATCTGGAGAACATTGCAAATTGGGAGCGGAAGGAGCCAATCACGACGGACAAGCTTGCCTTGAAACGCGAACTGGCGTAAGTTCTTATTGCGATATGGCTTATCAATATAAACTTAATTGTCCGTCAATTGCATTATTTGGCTAACTCACGGGACTCAAGTTGGAGTTCCAACCGGAGGTCAAGTAATCGATAACATCGATGAAAAGTATAGCGTCGACATGTAGGTAATTGACGGCCTATTTACGCGTCAGCCAATCAAGTGCAATTTATTGGTTCGACTTAAATAAAAGGTAAAGTGTGACAAGTTAATTAGAGATGGTCATCAAACTTCCGTTTAATCTTTTCTAAAGGCACTTATTGTCTCATTTTTTATCTTCAATGTTCTTTTCAGACTCCCTGTTTTGGCGACTCCGGCGCTGGTGTTTACTGCCCCAATGATCAGGGAAAATGGTTTCTATATGGAATCATCAACAGAGGAAACTTCCTCTGCGTAGGCCAGTATGCCACAAGCACAAAGATACTTCCCCATGCTGGATGGATCAAGGAGGTGATAGCGGCCAATGTGGTTCAATGAAATTTAATAATTGCGAACAAACTTTAGCAAGGATAAGGATCACAGACTCCGTGTTTAATTACTAGTTGGGATTTGTTAATTAATAGGTGCTGGCTTTCTGGCTGTGATTTAAACTATTATAATAAACGTCTCCTTGTTTCATAGAAAGCTGGCTTGTGCATCAAAGTTTGTTAGGATCCAAAAATTAGAGCCATTGTTCGAGCACAATATATTCGAATGAACGCCCAATTGTGACAATGCATTTCATTTACTCGTTTCTGCCGGATTAGAAGAAAAATAAAAGGACTGATTTATATGGCCTTCTAAAAACGAACTGGGATTAGGAACGTCCCTTCAAGGTGATATATGTGGGTATGAGCATTATTCCGGAAAGGGCAAAATATCTCCGTGTCCTCACCCCAGCAGTAACCCTAATATAAAACTTAACCATCGCCCTACTCTTAGCCCTAACCCTTCTCTAAACCTTTTCTCTGCAGTTAACACTAACCCACACCTTTATTCCTAACCTGAACATGATTTACTTTACCGTTAATTATGAATCTAGCCTTAAACTTAATGCCTAATCTACATTTACCCTAACCTTGAACCTAACCCTTATTTCACTGGGATTTGTCTCTAAACTATTCGCACCGCAGGCGGTATCTTTTTTCATCTGCAGTTTAAGGGGCCATGTAAGTCATTTCTACGAAAGATTCAAAGGGCTACACTGCACAATTTTCTTAGGTAATTTCCAAGGTGCTTGTGATCTAATCCGCTCTCAGCCGACGGATGGCATGTACACTTTTCTCTGTGAAAGTCGATATGCGAGCGTGGCGTCCCGAGACTTCGACCATTTTCATCAATATTGACCGCCGTATGTCTCTCAACATGAAAAAATCGGGGATGATTGCACGTGCGCAATGTTTTTAATAAGAGTAAACTTGCGCATCATCTGTCGCACTCTTTCCTCTTTCACCAACCTGAGTCCGGTATCAAGACAGACTAAAGAAGTCCGGTAGCCGGATCAAGTCAACTCGTCTACACGCACTAAGCACGCATCGTTCGCAGACGATGGCTCAGGTTTCCACAGAAACATGAAGGACTCGGTGTGGATCCCATCGAAGTGCCACAATAAGAAGGAGACATTGCATCCTTTCTTTCAGCCTTGAGAGGAGGAGACAGTTATCCCGTCGGTTGAAAGCATTCCAAGTTGCGGTTTCTAGCACACCGCGATATCCTTAAGCCTCGCCAGATTGTTTATGGTGAGGAGTATGTATTAAAGGCCACCTAGATGCAGTCCCCAGATTCTGCCTCGCCTCTTCTTACTCCCAAGCATCAGTCGGATATCGAGGCAGTCAGGCACACAGGTCTGACTGCGAAGTCTGAGTTATATCGTCAGTTGGAGAACTCCAAGTCATGGCGTTTGGCGTGTCGTGATAAATGTAAACACACCAAATTTATTATAGTTATGAATGCGACTCGCTGCTATAGCGGAAGTCATCCGAGTCGTGCACGCTGTCTCTTGCCTCTCCAGCGCACCAACCAGTTGCCAGAGCGGAGCAACTCTCTGATGTCCTGATTGTACACAGTGGCCGGCAGAGCTGGAAGTGTCAGTTTGGGTGCTCTAAACATCACCAGGTTTAACACTAGAGGATGAGGGTTCTCTAATAGCGCTTGTTCTGGCTGATGTGGGTCAAGTTCGTGAGTGATATGTAAGCTGGTTGGGAGGTATGCAGTAACGGAGGTGGATCTGCTGCATTTTAATGCAGAAATTTATGGAGAGGTATATTTTCAAAGAGTTCTCTTCGGTGACTGACTCTGCGTGGGCAGAGCGAGCAACCTAGACGAGGACGACTGACGTAGGTCGGTGTTCATGCCTCAGTCTAATGGATACGTAAGTGACTTACCTCGCCGATGCGTGATGTGCATTTAAGGTGATCTTATGGGAAGGATAGGCAGGTAGTTTGCCGGATTGGTGGTGACGCAGGTCGAAGGCGAACTATTAGCGCTGGTAACAAGGAAGAATTCTGCATATTGACAATGCGGTGAATTCCGATGTCGTGAATGCATGTGTGAACAAATAGTTCTATGTGGCGACCGAACGAGTGTGGGTAAATAGAGCAATAAAAGCGAAGAGACGAGTCCCAGGAAGCAGTCTGGAAGATGGAGACACGATCGCTGGGACAAGAACTTTATTAGCCTGATGTTTCGGATCTCTGCTTGAAACCATCACCAAAGAAAAAAGCAGATATGGTTCATGTCCAAGGGGCTAGAGTATTTATAGGATGCAGCCGCCATGCTACTGCACGCCAACGAATGTTCACGGGTCCTTCCTTCATCGGCGATCGTTGCACGTGGTGTGATGACTGTTTGATGGTCGGCATTCGCTTCGTTAACTGCTGCGATCTCATCACGTGCGTTGAATGTTGATGCGATGATTGCTCGACCATCGGACCCACCAACCATGGTGTTGGGAAAGGTTTTCAACTGCGCGCTCCCCACGTGACTAATTACTCCGTCTAGGCGAAGTCTCAGCACTGAGTATGGAAGGGGAAGATCATTGCACTTGTTAATAGACTGGAGGCAAGTAAACCATGACTTAAGCAGCTTCCGGCTCACGCGGTTTTGAACCCCAGCGAGAATTTCGGCCTCGTCAAATTTGAATGTGTAGCCGGAACCCGTCGAATGAGCCGAAACTTGAGTGCTGTCGTCATTTCTCCGCGCCGCTGCAGCGTGTTCGGCCATGTGCGTTTGGAGTTGTCTGCCGTTTTCTCCGACGTAGTTGCTTTGTCCGCAACTGCACCAGATCCGATAAACAATTGCAGACGTTTCTTGCCGTGGCGGTGGATCTTTAGGTTTCATTAACTGACGCCTGATGGTTGCCTCCAGTCTGTGCGTAACTTAAATCCCAAGTGGTGCGAGAAGGCGTCCGACAGCTTCCGAAACGTTCTTGACATAAGGAAGAGCTCGCCAAACTTTGGTGTCTGTGCGGTTTGGCCTTTCGTCCATCTTACGTATGTACCGGTTGACGAAGTTAAGCGGGTAGTCATTGGCTTTGACGACCCGTCGAGATATTGTAGTTTCTTGGACACTTTGGTCTTTAGTCCACCACAATCGTTGCGGCATATGGGGACATCCAGAAAGGCCAGCTGGTTGTACTCTTCCTCCTCCATCGTAAATTATATGTCCGGGAAGACCGCATTCAAATGTTCCTCGAACGTCAGCAATTAATTCCAGTCAAAAATGACTAAGGTATCTTCCATATACCGGGCCCAGAACTTCTGTCTGTGGTGTTGGAAGACCAGTGATTATAACCGTTACAGGAGCGCTTCAGATGTGAATCCCGAAATTGGCGAACCCATTGGTGCGCCCTCCACCTGTTCCTAGATTGTTCCGTCAAACATGAAGTACGTCTTGAGACAGAAATGCAAGAGATGAAGGACTTGGGTGTGTCCAAGACGATTTGCCGTTTCATCGTATTTGCTTTGTCGAAGCAGCTCGGTTATCTCGATCGCCAGGTCCTGGGGAAGAGAAGTTAAAAGGGATATAACATCAAAATAATTCATGACGTCATTTGGATGGAGACTAACCGATTTGAGTTTAACCAGGTATTGTGCTGACGAAGAGATAGTAGTGTCTGACTCAGCGGTCAGGAACCCGAGACTGTGAAACGGCCACTTAGCCAGTCTGTACGTCGGAGTACCTTTGAGCGGCACCATGGGTCGGAGAGGAGCGCCGACATTTTGCACCTTAGGGAGGTCATAGAATCGGGCCAAAGTCGTATCTTGGGGTTTCACCATGCGTCTGTCGGTCGGTATTATTGCACCTGAGTTCTCCTAGACCAAAAACGTCGCAATAATTTCTCATGTCAGCGCTTTTACAGGGTTCGTTGCACATGGGACATAGAACTGTCGGTCCTCCAGTAAACATTTGGCTTTTTGTAGGTAGTCTGTTCTGTCTAGTACAACTGTGGAGTGCCCCCTTGTACTCTGGCATGATGACCAGGTCTTTGTCGGGCTTGAGTTCTCTAAGCACACTATGTTCGACCTTGGTGAGACCTGTCCGCGGCCTGTGGGTCATTAGGAGTGACGACACTTGGTGTCAGATGAGGCTCTTAGTCTCCTCCGTTGCCTCCATCTGACGAAGGATTGAGTCACCTGCTCCGATCATGTTAAGAGGTTTGGTGTCAGCCGTGTTGAATGAAGCTATGTGCCGTTATACCTGCATATGAATCCTCGTCAGCTCCTTTGACGACAGATGGCGCACCAGTTTTATGTATGCTCACGCACTTCGCGTGAATGCTTACTGTTCCGAAGCGAAGTCCAAGCAATAAATAGTGCGGAAACGGGTCATTTAGCTTGTTGGTTGATTTCGGGCAGATAATTCACGATATAAGTAGGTCATGGCGGAAGTGGTTGTCGTCCCTTGCAAAAGTTACGACCGTGTCCAAATTGAATAGCTTCAAATCCAATTTAAGCTGCCAATCAATTTGGCTTGGTATTCTATCAAAAAGAAGCGGCGTTTAAACTCCTTTTACAATCCAGAGGGAAAAGCAGTTTCTATTGGCAGGGTTGCGCAATATGATCAACTGTTAATGCTAATCGGATTACATGCAGACAAGCAACGCTGCTTCAGCAAATCTGACTAAAAATGTCCTCGCCTAAGAGCATCACCATGAAATATGCTAAACTTAAATATCCTATATATGCAATCAGTGAAGCAGATAACTCGCCTTACATGCGATGCCATGCTGTAATGCAATCTATCCATGCAAGTATTCCATCACCATTGTAGTTTAAGTAGACAGAAATGACTGCGTCTGGCTAAATTGTTCAAAAATGAATTTGAAGATTATGCATAAGCTTGTAGATTGCACGACGGAAAAACTGTTCTCCTCTGCTCCTTGTAGCCATAAAGCACATTTTTTGCGCAGCGCACATATTGGGTTTTTTCAACAATATTCTACCGAAATGGCGAAACAAAGCAGAAACCTTCCAACACGTGAGATTGTTTTCGGATCA